ACATATATATGTAAGGTTAAGTGTATAATGAGGCCCCGTAAATTCAAATTATATTCACGTCCAGCTGGATAGCCAACTTCGAGGATGGATTCAGACAGCGGCTGGTAGTATTTTGTGTGTGTTTAGGCTTTAACTTTTGGAAAGTTGTTTGTCTTCCTAAGCATTTGATTCTTTGTCTATCCAGGCTGCCGGTTTGTGGCTCAGCCGAGGAGACGACGAGGCTTCTAACAGGCTCTGTGCTATGTTTAATCCCCCTGGGCCTTCCTTTCTCCCACCCTCCCCCTGTGAATGCTAAGGGGGGCGGGGGAGGTAATGCACCTTAACGTCCCCTTGATCTAGGCCAATCTTGCTGTACATTTGGAGGATTAGAATAAGCAGATGGAAATGTGAGAGGCATGGTGTCTGACCTTGAGATGACAAAATCAGAAAGGTCTTGTCTTATGTCCCCTTGCCCCCTAATAACATATACTTGAAATGTAGCTTGCAGTGATTAGGTCCATCTTCTCTTTCTCAGCAAGCCAATATCAGCTTGTAGGAATAGGAGAAAGCTTGTGGGGGTTTTGATTCGAGTGGACAATTCACTTGTTCTAAGTCAAAACTCTGGAAGGGTTATGCAGACGCCCCGTGTCCCTCTGGAGTATCATTTGCTGTATCCACATAGGACATCCGTTTCTGAAGAATAGAGCTCATATTTAATGGGGTCAAGAAATGAAACAGGAGCCCTTGGAGTTCTTTCTCTGCCGTTTCCCCATCACATGAGGCTTAGAACCCACCCAGGCTAAATCTGGCCTCCCAGTCTGCAGCCAGATGCCTGGTCCTGGGGACACCCTGGCCTCTAGGAATCAGCAGGACGGACTGGCCTTTCTTTCACAGATAAACCAGGAGGAGTAGATGACAGGTCTGAGGCTGACCACTTTCCATCTACCCAACACACTTAGAGCAAGTGTCTGATCGGGGAGAAGAGATACTGAAGGTTTTAGGAAAAGGACTTAAAAAGAAAAAAAAAATCTGGAACCCATCCATAAATGGTCTGAGGAAGGATGACGAATATGACTTTTATCATGCTTCTTCCTTTCTACTGCCTGTGTCCTGGAGAGGCTGGGAAGGCCGGTCCATCTCTAAGCAGGTCCTATGAAGCGACCAACGCTGTGGGACCACAATGAAAGCCTGGGGGCTCCATTCTAGGCAGCCTCGCAGGAGGACAGCTGTCTGTGCTTTTATACTCTGGGTAGAGAAGGAGTCCTCTTGGGTCCCCAGTGTGGTTGGACCGAGTCTGGCACACCGTGCTCTCTGCTACCCATCCGGGCTCGGGCACCCACTCCCACACAGGCCCTTCAAGGGTGCGGCGTGGCCAGGCTTCCTCAGCCACGGTTGTCCTTGGCGTTCAGCCGCCCAGACACTTCCTGGGACCACCCACAACTCCCCTTCATCGTAGCTCAGAGTTTGTTTTTTCTAGTTGGATTAGTCTAAGAGTCAATGCCATAGGCTTTCTGGCCCTCCAACAAAACAAAACAAAACAAAAAATAAAACACCATTTCTGTGTAGAGTGAAAATTAGGCTCTTAAATCTGCAAAGAAAGCTGTTTATCTTACAAATTTATTCTTTTTATTGGGCCACACATGTCCAAGATAGAAAGATAAAAGGAAAACAGATACAGGCCATCACTTAGACTGACATAGAGTGAGGCCCTTCTCATCCTCAGCTTCCGTAGAACCTTCCAGACTGGAATGTGGGCCTTATCTATGTATTGGTCTATCATGTGCCCTGGACAAGGACTCACCGAAAACCACAGTAGAAGTTTGTCCTCCATGCTCTCTCCCTCCCACATTTCCATTGCTCACAAATGGGCTCTGTTGGAGGAAGGCTCTGGGGAAGGGGCTCACGGGCAGATGGTGCAACATGGGGCTTTGCAGGAATTAAATGTCAACAGTCCACGCCTGCCTACCACCTCTGTCCTGAAGCCAATATCCGGGGCACTTAGTTCTGCTTATAATTCAAACTGACAGCTGTTGGCCTCCTCCCTTAAATAGGGTATCTTAACTATGTCGCAGGGAGCACTTGGCGGAATTTTAATCAGGCTCTTTGTGATTTTTTTTTTTAACATCTTAATTTTGTTTTACTTGTTTCATGTTCCAAGATTCATTGTTTATGCACCACACCCAGTGCTCCATGCAATACGTGCCCTCCTTAATACCCACCACCAGGCTCACGAAACCCCCATCTCCCTCCCCTCCCAAACCCTCAGTTTGTTTCTCAGAGTCCACAGTCTTTCAGGCTTTGTCTCTCCCTCCGATTGACCCCAATTCAGTTTGCCTTTCCTTCTTCTAATGTCCTCCATGTTATTCCTTATGCCCCACCAGTAAGTGAAACCATAGGATAATTGACTTTCTCTGCTTGACTTATTTCACTCAGCATAATCTCCTCCACTCCTGTTCATGTTGATACAAAAGTTGGGTATTCATCCTTTCTGGTGGCCAAATAATATTCCATTGTATATATGGTCCACATCTTCTTTATCCATTCTTACGTTGAAGAGCATCTCCACTCTTTCCACAGTTGGCTATTGTGGACATTGATGCTATGAATATTGGGGTACAGGTGGCCCTTCTTTTCACTACATCTGTATTCTTGGGCTAAATACCCAGTGGTACAATTGCAGGTTCATAGGTAGCTCTATTTTTAATTTCTGAAGGAATCACCACACTGTTTTCCAAACTGGCTGCACCAACTTGCATTCCCACCAATAGTGTAGGAGGGGTCCCCTTTCTCCACATCTTCTCCAACACTTGTTGTTTTCTGTCTTGTTAATTTTGGCCATTCTAGCTGGTGTAAGGTGGTATCTCAATGTGGTTTTGATTTGAATTTCCCTGATAGCTAGTTTTTCATGTGTCTGTTAGCCATTTGTATGTCATCGTTGGAGAAGACATACTATCCATTTTTTGACATGACTATCTGTTTTTTGGGTGTTGAATTTGGGGAATTCTCTATAGATCTTGGATATCAGCCCTTTGTTTGTGGTGTCATTTACAAATATCTTCTCCCATTCCATGGGCTGCCTCTTTGTTTTGTTGGCTCTTTGTGATTTTAAGTTGACCTCATAATCCCACAAAAGGAAAGCTGAAGAATGTTGGGGGGACAAATGCAACACATTTGGGATTGGCGTGGCTGGGGGTGGGAGGGTGAGTGGGAAACAGCATTCCAACTATTTCAACCCAAGGTGTGGTTGACTTGAAATTGACATCTGGCCATTGTTTCCCTGGGCAGCAGCCCCTCATGGACCTAACCTATGGGCTATGGAGCACCTCACTATTACTGTAGGGGGACACTGGTTTGCCATGAAGTGGCAAAATAGATCATTTTGTCCCCCCTCCCCGACTCAATACCCCCTTAACACATTCATGTGGTTGACCAGAAAGCTGGTGCTAGGTGGGTTGGGTTCTAGATGCCTGTAGACCCAGTCCTTTTATCTGTGCAAAATTATGAGGGCAAAGACTGCTGGGCAGACAGACCCTTTGAAGAGCTCTTCCAAGGTTGGTTGGAGAAGTTGGAAAGCATGGGATCAAAAGTGAGCCTTCAAAGAACTTTTCCAGGGTGATGCTATCGCTGTGCATTAACCCAAATGCAGAGAGGACACTTGAAGCCAAGGGTTTCCACGGTTGCTTGGAGCCAACATCCAAATAAGAATTAAATGTGATTGCCTTCATCTTGTGCACGGCCTATAAGTCTGTCCCTTTTGGCTGTTAGCGGAGAACACCAGGAACGGATGTTGTAGAATAAAAGCAATTTGCATTTTCCATTGCTTGGAAGGTACAAATCTTATTTATTCTGCTTCTCTGCAGAACTCATAAGTCTGCTTATTATCTGAGAAGGTCCCCTTGTTCTCCTAGCAGATCCACCATGGGGCCCAGAGGGTGGGCTGGGAGTGGCATCAAGGACCCTGCCAGCCCCAGGAGCTTGGGTTCTGTGCTAGGGGTGAGCCTCCAGCTCTGCAGGGAGGCCCGAGGAGAGGGCTCCAGTGCCTCCCCTCCCAAGAGCTGCAGATTCCCGGCTCCTACCCTGCTCCCTGAATGTCGGCTCTCTGGCAGTGCGATGTCGGGCCTCTGGTATTGCAATAACATATCCTCCAACCACTAGATATTTTCATGGTTTTATTTACTATTATGTCCCATCATTTCTGTGCAGAAGGCAGCCGTATGTAAATTTTATTCCATTTTCTAATGGTTTGGGTTACATAACAAATAACAGCAGGAAAGAAAATTTGTATTGATACTTTACAGAGGAAGTTCTCAAGTCACTGCACAAAGATTTAACTGCTTGGCTCGAAGTTTATGGGAGTTTTGCAGCTGAGTTTCTGCACATGACTTTGAATATGTCACTATATGTTTATCATGGGCTAATTGTGGAATCGCATTTCCATACTTTTTCTTCTCCCTTTCATAAGATTACAGCAGCCAGCGATGGATACCAAGCTCTACAAGGAAGAAATGATCAGTTGTGGATAATTGTCTTTCCTGTCCCAAAATAACTGTATGTCTGCATGTCTTCGGGACTCGGCCGAGACACATTTTTTTCCCCATTTGTTGCTAGATATAATGCAAATGTGATTTCGATCTTATAGCGAGCTCTCACCAGCTAGTCCATATTACAAATTAATCAGATTCAACAAACACCAACATTTTTAAACTTTTGGAAAAAAAATATTTAATAGAAGCTAAGCAAAAGAAGAAATCAAACCAGCTGCTGACACAGCTGTTTCTTTTCTTGTTTAATTCAGTTCAATATAAAGGTACCATATGCTGCTTAAAATGATGATGGGAAAGATGAAATAATTTAAGAGAATAACAAGAAAATACATGAATTGTCAGCATTCTGTCAGATTGAAAGAATGAAATAGACAGGTGTAGTATTGACATGTTTAACTTTGTGTGGTGTTAGCAGTTTTGGTGCGAACAGCTTCTGACGTGCTGAAGTGATGTGAGAACGTTTCTTCTCCGCTGCAGACATCGGCGAGGAGGCTGGGAGAGCCGCTGGGGTCCAGCAGCCCTCACTGCTTCGAGACAGGAGCCTGGGCTCGGCCATGAAGGACTGCCCGTACTGTGGGAAGACCTTCCGGACATCCCATCACCTAAAGGTGCACCTGCGGATACACACAGGTGAGAGGCGCGGGCGCGTCGCTGTGCGCAGCGTCCAGCAGGGGCCAAGCTCCCGGGCCCGGGTCACCCCCTGTGTTGCCACCAGCACCGCCGCACTCTCCGTGGGCCGGGCCGGACCCCGCTGCGGTGGGGGGACCCCGCGGGGTCCTTCCGCCCCGGTTCATCGCTGCGCAGCCAGCCTCCCTCCTGAGCCGCATTGGGCGGGTAGACACAGACCCCCCTGTGGCCCGGGTGTAGGAGGAGGATGCTTGGTCATGGTCGCAGGGTCGGTTTGGTGATGTGTGTAATGGAGCAGGACACCTCGTGCCCTGGCATGGACCAGGGGCCCTGAAGGTGCAAAGCTCAAGAGCTGGGCTCAGACTCTGAGTATGAAAGGGAACAGGGGAGCTCCCTTCCTAGGTTCCCAGCTGGGGTTCCGGGCCCACACCAGAGGCCGGCCTGGTGGCAGCAACCCACTGCCCGGGATGGAGAACTGGCTCTGCTCTGAGTCCCCTCAAAAGAAAAGTGGAGGTGCTCTTAATCAAACAGGTGAAAGGGCTGCTGGACCATGTGGTCATTTCTCCTGTTTCCGAGTCCTCCTAGCAGTATGAAATGAGGACATTTTGGAGGTCTGTGTGCCTTGTCCCTTGGTCATTTTTCTTTTCTTTCTTTCTGTTATTCTTTTTCTTTCGTTCGTTCTTTCTTTCTTCTTTTTTTTTTTTTTGTAGCTTTTCTGCTAGTTGTTTGCACATTGCCAATACAAAAAAAAAAAAAAATCTATCTGAGATATGGACACCTCCATTTTCTTTGATTTTTCTCCTGACACTTTATCTATTGGAGTATGAGCTGCTTCAGAGGATAGACAAATATGCCATCTATTTTCAAAAATAATTGTGGTCTATTTCCCCAGGAATCAATAAAGCTCAGGGTTGTGCAGGATATTTAGTGCATGTGGGCCTCATGTGCAGCGTGTGGTTAAAGAGAAGGAGGACCTCACCTGGAACCTCACCTGGTGCCCGCAAATCTCCCTGACACTGAGAGGAGAGCCCTGAGAATGGGGGGCAGCGGGCCGTGGGCTGCCATCTTTATTCATGGCCGAGGCAAGGTTAAGCCTCACCATTGTCCATCCCTCCCAGCCGGCAGAGCCCTTCTCTCCTAGAGTCATCCACAGCAGAGAGACAAGGCACCTGTTCGCTCCCTCCCCCAGGCCCTGTGAGATCTGACCCATCTTGCGCCATTCTTCATCCTCGTCTCTCTCCAACCCCATGGCCTTCTTTGGGCTCCCCCAGTGCAGAGAGCCAATTCCTACCGCAGTGCCTTTGTACCCACCGTGCTGTCCCCCTGGAATGCTCTTCCTCCAGGTGGTCACTGGGAGCTTAGCTTGCATGGGAGTGCTTCAGAGAGACCATGTCTGATTACCCCGTCCAAAATATCCCTCGGACCCCTGGTTCAATTTTCTTCCTAAACTTAGCACTTCCTGAAATTATCTTGTTCAGTTCAGTGGTTCATTTCCTTAGGCGCTGTTTGTCTCCCACCAAGTCAAATGTGAGGGTTGCAATATTGTCCATGTTTTTAATCGCTGTACTTTCTAGAACCCTAGGGCCTACCATAGCCCCTAACACATAGTAGGGACACAATAAATTTATCTGAAAGCTTGAATGTCAGAACAAACTTGAGAATAAGTGAGTGACCTTCTTCCTGTAGTCTCTGGACTGTGCTGGGTGGCATGGAGGGGACAAGGGCAGTGAGGAACATGGACCCTTCCCCGGGGAACCTGCGGTCCTTTTGGAAAGGCAACCTGTACACATGAGCCCATTGGAAGCCATGATATGACGACAGTTTCAGATGGGAGACTCTCTCCCCCAGAGCTCAGTGAGGGGTTCCTGAGTGTCTGCCTCAGGGCCTTTGCACTTCTCTGCCAGACAGGTGCATTGGCTTGTTCCTTCATTTTCAGAGTTTGGCAGAGTCCCCTTTTCAGTGAGGTCTTCCCAGTGATCGGGCTCAGGACGAGACAGCTCAGATATCTGTCCTTCTGAGATCATACCGATATCCACTTTCTTCCTCAGGTTGGGTTGTGATGGTAGTTGGGGAAGGAGGGGACACAGATGCCAGGAAGTGGAAGACAATCCACTTCCTGGGGCACCCATTGTTGGGCTGTCTGCAGGAGTGTGGACACCTGGCCAGGCGTGTCCTGTGTACTGTCCTTTTATTAGATGTAGACCCAGGCCCCTGGGTCAAGCTTACCATGTGGCTGGTGGCTCACTGCAGCAGAGTCTGCCCTCCTAGGCAGTGTGGGTTAGGAAAGAAAAGGCAGTGCCTCCCAACCAGGAGTTTTGCTGACCCCGCGGGGCCCAACTCTCATCAGCTGGCCCATCAGCAATGGTAGACACTCTGCAGAATATTTCCAGTAAAGCAGGACCAAACCTGGCGGGAGTCCCACTGAACACGGGTGGATGCAAACGGATACAGCTTTTGAAGTTTTAAAGCCTGGTAAAAGTTATTTCTCCCCCAAATTTCCACTTCCTCTGCTTCACAAACTTCTGAGGTGTGTGACCATAGTCTTTGGAGACGCTGAGAGAAGCAAGACAGGGCTGTGGACAGAGGCATTCTGGAAACTTCCCGGAATAAGGGAGAAAATGACAGAAGCCATGGAAACATCACACCGCCAGCCCCCCTCAGAAACAGCATTTGCTGTGTTTAAAAGGCAGAATGGTAACCAGATAAAGATCAATTTCCTTTTTATCAAAGAACAAAGAAGTTGGAAAATGCTTATACTCGTGCATTTGAATAGAGCAGAAAGTGTTACATGTTCTAAATCACCAAAATAAACATCCATTACGACAATGTTGAAGTGTAGATTACACGAGCAATTAAAAATCAAAATCAAGCTATTTGTTAACGAACCAGGGGACCCTGGGCTCCGGTTGTGGGGGCATCCTATGCCGCCTCGCCCCTTTCTCTTCGTGTTCTTGGATTCTGAAGCGACATGGCCAGCGGGCAGCCGCCTGTGAAACCGAATCCGTGTTTTCCAAAATACCATCTCATGAAGTTTTTCCATAATGGACCCATGCGAGCACATTTAAAAATCCAGTGTGTAATAAATATGTTTTAATTGGTCGGAAGATGAGGTGGTACCTTCACCGTGTTTTCCTGTTCTGCTCCATCTTTATGAGCCGTCTCGATCATATAACAGCCACGGGTAAAAACCGCTTTCCTTTTTTAACTCCACTACTGCCCTCCTCCTCCCGACACCTGTGTATTAGGGAGGTGCTGAGTAGATGCCCCATCAGGTTGCCTTGAACACCTGGGGGCTCGGGAGAGCCTGCGGGAGCTAAACCATCTCTGCCGGCCCCTGAGCCACAGCCAGATCCATGTGGGCTGGACGGAGGCACGCGGAGGACCCCGGGGCCTCACATCCCAGAGGCCACCCCACCCTGACTCTGGCGGGACAGATGCTGATTCCTGCCCACCCAAGGGAGGCTGAGCTGCTTTCCCGTTTCTCATAGTCTCTGGGGACAATTAAGATCCGATCGCTGGATGTGTGTCATTGGTCTTCTGATGTCCACGCCAGTGATTTGAATTCAGAGCCCATCAGCACAGGCTGAGAAAGGAAATGGTGTCAGGGCTCTCTAGAGAAATGGTATGTATAATGAACAATATGTCCTATGTATATGTATGATATATTATAGATAATCAAATAATAGGTTATATATATGTATATATAAATATTTATGTTTTTTATATTTTTTTAAAATAGTGTATACATATACACACACACATATATATGTATGTATGTAAAGGGATTTATTGTAAAGCATTGGCTCAGTCAGTTATGGAAGCTGAGACATCCTAGGATTGGCATTTGGCAAGGCAAGCTGGCAGACCCAAGGGAGCCAATGGGGAACGTCCCAGTCCAAGGCCAAGTCCACAGGCAGGTGAAGGTGGCAGCCCCAGCTGGAAGACAGGCAGAGAGTGAATTCTCCCTTACTCAACCTTTTGTTCTGTTAGGGCCTCCAATGGACTGGATGAGCTCCCCCCTCCCCCGCCCCATATACATACATGCTGGGGAGGGCAATCTGCTTTACTATCTGAATGGGCAGTCAGCCCATTCAGATAGCTCATCTCATTTGGAAACATCCTCCCAAACACACCCAGAGTAACGTGTGAACAAATGTCTGGGTGCACATGACCAGTAGACACAAAAAATTAACCATCATAGGTGTACAGCAGCAAGCGTTTAATCCTAATGAGCTACAGGAGGCAGGGATGTCTCCTAGGTGGCCCCTGACCGAGGCTGGACAGTCGTTTCATGATGGGCTGCCTGAAAATGCACTTCCTTCTTTCCCTCCCTGCCCCCTCCTCCAGCTCCGTCTCAGGGAGACCCCCAGAGCCCCGCGTGTCCAGTTTGCATATAGGAGGTAGGCATGTGCTGATCAGTCGGTCTCTGAAAGGCTGGAGGGGGGTGTGTCCCCCACACGAGACCCAGACGTGTGTCACCCCACCTGCTGGCCGCGGGACCCCAGACTGGGTCCCCTCCGACGGCTCCCCTGTGCGTTGGCTTCCCTGGGAGGCTCCCTGTCATCTCCGGAATGACCATTGTAGAGAAATGTAATAAGGAACCTCACTCATGAAAACTTGGAGGCACGAAAGTTCAGGGACTAATTAAAAATAAATCTCATTAGTTTTTTTTCCCCCTCTCAAATTATGCGAGTGGTTTATTAATCTGGTTTTGATGTGTTACATGCATTGGCCCAGCCCGGAGTTGAGAACCTCTTTATGAAAATGGATTTGCACAGGGAAGCCAGAGGTGGTTTTCAAGGGCTCTTGGCCGTGGGCAGGGTGGGCCGGTGGGCACGCCCAGCTCTGTTCACCCCTGCCGGGAGGGCGTCTCCGTGACGCGGACACTGGATGGGGCGCCCTCATTGGCTCTTGAGTGCATGCTTACTCCCAGGCAAGGACCACCCTTATGTCCTGCAGGACCCTCCAAGGGATGTGTGCCCAGCTGGAGGCGGGGGCCGAGATCGTCCTGGCTCCTGACCGAGGCTGTGTCTACACAGTATGGTAGCTACCAGCTGGCCGCAGGAAAATGCGGCCAATAGGGACAAGGTAATAAGAACAATAGTATTAACAGTGGCCAGCACTGTGCCGAGCCCTGCACGTGATTTCCCTCCTCAGCCCTCACAGCAACCCGCTGACCAGGGGCCACCTAGAGATGGGAAGTGACCCACTCCAAGTCTCCTGGCATTGACTGCAGGGTGCAATCCAGATCTGTCTCCTTATGGCTGTGCTGTATTGATTTTTTTTTTTTTTTTTTTACTTTTCTGGGTGGATTTTTGGGCCTGTTTTAGGGAATTAATGCAACATTTCTTTGACAGTGTGTGTCCACACCATAACCAGCGGGAGGAAAGGAAGTGACTTGTACCCACAAGGTGTATTGACGCAGCCTCCCGGCGATGTAAAAGGGAAGTACTGTACACCCCAGCTCCTCCTTTACCCCTAACTCAGACTGGCCTGCGGCCAGGCCTCCTTGACCCCACGTGCCTCAGTTTCCCCATCAGCACAGAGAGGTTAGGGAGGCAGGGAGGCAGGGAAGCGGCCACTGTGGCACCTGGAAGTGTGGAGGGTGGGATGGAATGACTTGCCGTGTCAGAAAACGATAAATGACCACTGCATGCCGATTTGGAAACTATCTTTCATCTTCAAAGAGCTTCCCAAGGGCCAGCTGGTCTCTAGATGTGGGTGAAAATGTGAGTTCAGTGGGCCTAACCCAGGTGCCTAACCCCTGATGTCCACATCCCTTACCTTTAATGCTTCTCTGTTTCCTCTCCTGGCTTAAGTTAACCAGGCTATTTTAAATGGTCATGAAAGGACACTGAATAAATATTCAAAAATAGATTGGCTAAAATGGGGGCTTTCCCCATTTTTTTTTTCTAAAAGGAGAGCATGTGTTGTTGTCATTAGTGGGGGACAACCACCTGAATAATGACGGGGGGGAAAAAAGATCTGCTTGCCCAAAAAATAATTCTTTTTTCCCCCTTTTTGTTTTGAATTAAAATTCTACCTTTTTTTTTTTTTTTTTTCATTTCTAAGATGAACGAAAAGCCCATTTTACTCCTCCGCAGTCCCCCAACCTTGCTGTTCCGGCCTTAATGACATCCCAAACTTTTGTTGAAAATAATTGATTGAATTTAAATTTCCTTAAAAGTTTAAGAGGTAATGTTACAGTATAAATTTCCTACCAAACACTAAGTAGGGAAATATCCATTAGTGAAATTAACTACAGTTTCTAGGTAGCTAACAATGTGCCGTATACAGTAGGGCATGGCTAATGAACACTGCAGTGGGTGATATTTCATTATACAAATTAATGCTCACATTTTAATGGGAAAGTCACATAATGAATCTCGGCTTCAGTGACAGCAATTAGAGACACAGATTGTCCCCTTCTGGACAAGGCACTGTTTAGCAATAAGCAGCTGTGTGAAAAGTCTTCAGGTTTACAACATATATATGCTTTGGGGGAATTAGTGTACAATTTATATTAATGTACTGAAGCTCTTCTGAGAAGGCACCACCGTATTTATCTCTCCTGGTATTAACTAAGTAAAGACATGTAGAAAGACTAAATAAATATCAAATAGAGGATGCAAATACGGGGGAATATTCGGTTACTCGACTTAAAAGTTAAAACACTTTTAGAGATTTAGCACACACACATGTTAGAAGCTGGAAGCCCTCCTTAAGAGCTCCCCCAAGGGATTTCCGAGAAGAGTAGCATGAGTCCACCTGCTCTTTTCAGAGAGGTGCTCTTGGGGGTTCTCTCCATTCAAACGAGGGCCAAACTGACTTCCCCCGGAACAGTGAAGGTTCCTTGGGCTCGTCTAGTGCAATGTAGAGGCTCAGCATGATGAAAGACATGCTCATGTAAAAATAGGTACAATGAACTAATTAAACCCCTCGGTCATATGTTTCTAAAAATTTATGGTACAGAGACCGGGAGAAGTTATCAATGTTATCCCAAAGTTGAATATACATCTTGTGCCATGTGTCCGTGGGTAGCAGCTTTAATGTGAGATGTTTCCAGTAATTCACTAGTCTGTTGGAATGATGAACTGATGATTTTTTTATTTCAGTAGGCCTTTTTGAGCAACCCTCTCTTTTCTAGAAATGTACCGTTTGTGCCCATATCTTACTCCTTTAAAATATTGCGAGAGGTTCCCCCAGAGAAGGCCACTGGTGTCTTCACCTGCTTTCCCCAGTAGGCGAATAGCTCAGTACTTGGCATCCTTTTCCCTGATCCAGTCTTCAAACGGGCTGCCCTGTGTGGACCTGGACTGTAGACGACAGTGCTGGGGCCCTTGGCGATGTTTGAGGTTTTAAAGCAGGTGCCACCATTGAAAAACCAGGATATTGCACGTAGAAATCTGGGTGTGGGGCTTTTCTTAGAAGATGTCAGAGGTCCTCATGTCCCCAGCTTCTTGGTGTCGGTGGTGGCTGCCCTCTAGGACAGCCATCTACCCCTTACCTGCTGTTCTGCATGTCCCTGTGATCGGCCTGTCCCTGAAGACATCCCAGTGTCTGGTTCCAACCACAGGCAGATGAAAACACAGCGGATCCTGAACATCGTGAGGCGGCTGGAGAACTCATGACCCCCTACAAAGCTTGGGGCAGTCTCAGGGATCCTCTGGGTAGATTTGGGCCAATATGTGGCCTAAGTGGCCTATCATTCATCTAGATGGAGCTGCTGGCAGGGTCTGGGTCTGCCTGTGCCACGGGGCAGTGTGGGGAATGCTGGGTGGCCACCTGACTCATTCCTTGCCAGAAGCCTGGGGCTTCGTTCAAGTTTGCCCAGCACACTGGGGTGGAAGCACGTGGCCGGTCACAGAGACCTGGACTACGAAGCCTCTCTAAGCACCGGGAGACCGGGTAGCTGTCGGTCACCAAACCTGAGAGATAGGGCTTGACCACCCTCAAAGCCTGCTAACGGCGCTGACGGGTTTCTCCCCACCTAGTCCAGGCTGCTGTTAGGGGTTTGCCACCCCCAACCCCAGCACTCTGAAATGTGCCCTTGCGGGGAGTCCTGTCTGGGTAACCGCCAGGAGGTTTCCCATGGACGGCGAGCCCCTCGGGCTACCTGGGGTTGTCCAGGAGACGCCCGTCCTGGATGACTCCTTGCCGGGGTTTGCCTGGCCAGGAACATAGCCATGGGGGTGCTGGTTGTGGGCTGAACCCTCTGTCATCCCCTCTGCCCTCTCAGGGACGAAGCCCGGGAAGGTGAGGGACAGAGGGTTTCAAGGAGAGGGCCATAGTAGTTATCGTTTCAGGGTTATAAAGAAAATAATAGTGAGGATTTTGGGTTTTTTTAACATAAAAATCCAAAGGGGGTGGATTTGTCCCCTAGAACTTAGCTCTGGAGCATTTCTCTGGGAATTGGGGTGCTAGGAAGCATCACCCAGACACAGCCTTAGGGAGCGAGGCAGGAGTTGGAACCATGCAGAGGGGTCCTTCCGTTGGTGTGAGCGGGAGGTAGACAAAGGCCAGTGGAGGGCTTTCTAGAGCCTGTGTGTGTCATGTGCAGCCAAAATAACCCTTGAAAACTCACTAAATAACCCTTCATCTAGCAGGACCTGGATGCTTGGAGACTCCGATGCTAAGAATGAGCTCTTCCTTTTTCTCAGCTATGGCCTGTTTTCCCTGGAACAGTGGAGGCCAAGGCCTGTTCCAAACTTCATTGTATTTTTTTAAAGATTTATTTATTTGAGAGAGAGAGAGAGCTCAGGCGTGGGGTGGGAGGTGGGGCCGAGGGAGAGAAAAATCTCCAGCAGACTCCCCGCTGAGCACGCAGCCTGACACGGGGTTCGATCTCACAAACCTGAGATCATGACCTGAGCTGAAATCAGGAATCAGACGTTTAACCGACTGAGCCACCCAGACGCCCCTATTCTGAACTTTAAAAGAACAGTGGGTTGAACCGAAGTTTATCTCCTTGTGCTGTGTGAGTTATGTATGTGCGGTGTGTGTGTGTGTGTGTGTGTTATGTATTTGTGCATGTGGTGTGCACGTGTGATGGGTGTGTGGTATGTGTGTATGTGTGATGTCTGCGGGGGTGTGTGTGTAGTGTACGTGTGTGGTGTATGAGTGTGTGATATGTATGTATGTGAGTGTGTATGTATATGTATATGTGTTGTGTGTATAGTGTGTGTGCATTGTGATGTGTGTAGTGTGCATGTGTGATATGTATGTGTGGTGTATGTGTGTACCATGTACACATGTGATCTATGAGTGTGTGGTGGGTGTGTGCCATGTGTGTCTGTGTGTGATAATGTATATGTGTGGTGTGTGTGTGCATGTGTTGTATGTGAAGTGTGCATATGTGCTCTGTGAGTGTGTGTGGTGTGTGTGTGGTGTATGGTGTGTGTGTGTATGAATTCTGTGCACATGTTGGATTGTGATGTATGTATGTGAGTGTGGTGTATGTGGTGTGTATGTGTGTGAGCTCCACTTGCTTTAGCAACTCTATGACCTGTCTCCACTGAAAGCAATGGGAACTGGGGCCTTATCTCTTTGGTTCCTCACTCAATTGCCCTCTCTACTTGGGGAGTAGAAGGTAATCATTCATTCAGTCAAAACATTGTGTGTCGGGGCACCTGGGGGTGCTCAGCCGGTTAAGGTCTGCCTTCAGCTCAGGTCAAGATCTCGGGGTCCTAGAATCGAGCTCTGTGTCAGGCTCCCTGTTCAGTGGGGAGCCTGCTTCTCCCTCTCCTGTTATCCCCCCCCCTGCTCATGCTCTCTCTCTCTCTCAAATAAATAAATAAAATCTTTTCAAAGAAACCATTGTGTGTGAATGGATCCGCACATTTCTGGGTGTGTGGGTGCACACATGAGTCTCTGACCCCATTCAGGAGACTTAGTTTTGCTCTTGAGGTGGGTTTTAGAGCTGACACGGGCCTTAGGGAGTACTAAAGCTTAAGGAGTACCACCATCCTACATTATAGGTTGAGGATGCAAAGGTCCCAAGGTAGGAATCCTGTGCCCTGGGCAGTGGAAAATCCCGTGGGGGCTCTGGTCCCCAGTACAGACACTCCAAGCACTTCCTAGGGTCCAGAGCAGACCACCTTCCTTGCTAAGCCATCCCGCAGTGTCCACCCGGGGAGCCCCACAGTGCTTCTCCACCCAGGATCTGCAGAAGCCCATATGGGGGCCTTTGAGAGACCCAAATCGCAGCCTTCATCCCCGGCCAGTGAGCCCAGAATTTCTGGAGGTGGAGGTGGAACCAGGTATCAGCATGTTTTAAAGCTCCCCAGCAGTTTCACTTTGGCTTCTTCAAAATGTACTCTTTACCCCTCATCAGAATCCCCAGGGACACTTCCCCCAGACCTGGAGGGTCAGAACCATGCATGGGGTCCCATTAGTAATGACTTAAAGTCTCCTGTTGATTCTAACGCACGGTCGAGTTTGAGAACCACTGCTCTGGTGCACGTTGCAAGTGTGTGTCCTTTGGAAATGGACATCCCTGGGCATCCCTGTGGTCCCCGCCCCTCACCCCACTGAGACCTGAAGGCAGAAGTCCATGCTCTCCCCCTGTAGCTCCTGCTAACGCATGCCCGTGCATTCTCGGCAAACCCTTGGCCAGATGCACTTTAATGACTTCCAGGTGCATTTCTGAAATGCAACCTGAATCTCACCCAGTACCTGCAGGCCTCACCTCTGCCAGGTCTCAGTGCAGGGCCCTCCACGAGGCTCCCGCTAACCTGGGGAGGCAGGATTCTGAGTCCCTGGTTAGGCTCTCCTGTCACAACCCCGGCTACAACCCCCTTAGCTCCAGGACCTGCTCCTGCTCCCACTTGGCCGCCGGACTTCCAGGTGAGCTAAGAAGAGCCTGTCCACAGCGCTCATCCCACCAAGAGTTCCCTGGCCTCTGATGAGATGCTCAGAGAGCATGGCTGGGGTGAATCTGAGTCTAACACAGGGATTGACCCCAAGAAGTGAGAGAACGATGTCTGAGGCCATAGATGCCTTTAGCTCAACAAGGCTAGAGTCTTCTGCTCGATCCATGTCATTGGTCTAGCCAGAGGCAGTTGGGATCTTTCCCTTTAGAGAAATACATTCCCAGCTTGCAGGAGTGAGGCGCACAGAGCCACCATTTTGGAGAGGCAGACGTGGCTTCTCCAAGGTTCCAACATGAAATGTGGAGATGACGCAGAGTCCCCTGCTCAGAACCTGGGCTGGTGGGCTTATTTACGGTACCCAGGAATCTTTCTCCCCTCCTCTCAACTCTGTTACCCTCAAATGCCCTGTGCCTTGGAGACTCCACTGGGGCCTGGTAAAACGTCTTTGGGATGCACCGATCACTGATGATTTGCTGTTGCTTTTTACATCAGTCTGGTTTACACTAGCAATGGCGGAAGGGCTGGGGGGACATTGAGTTTCCTGGGAGGAGTGATTGTGGCTATCGACAGGGCGCCACCGGGAATCGGCTAACGGATAGCCACAGCCCCATTTCTTCCAGGGAGCTTTTCGGTTCCAAAGTCTAGAAAAGACCCCGGATTGCAAACAAATTCCTGGAATATATTTAAATCCACATCTGTTTTATTCTCCTCCCCTTCCTCTAGCCCACAACGCGGGCAGGTCCCGGCTGTCCATTATGGTAGCTTTTCCATGGTGGCAAGAACAATAGAAGTTGGGTGTTGAATTTAAATAAATATTTAATTCATGAAAATGATCTTATATGTTTTAAAACACTCTTTAAAGCTATTTTTATTCTCTAGAAAGCGCTTATTATAGGTAAATTACACATTTTACTACCGGAGCGTTAGGTTTGCCATTAGTACAAATTTAAGGCACTACAAAGACCAGTAGATAATGTTAATTTCAAATACAGAAACTAAATATATTTTGTACCTTTTTATTACTCATTTTCTTTTAAGTTTTATTGACTGCTTTTTATCTTAACTATATGTCTTTACATGCCGCAATCATAATGCACGGTAATGGTATTAATATTTTATGGAATCGGTATTTATAGTTCTTTATTTAGAAACAATGCAGTAGGTCTGCAGATATCTGAGCTCGTCTGGAATGGCGCCCTCCAAATAATGATAAATTACTTGTGCAGTATGCCATTTGCTAATTATATCCATGATTTACTGCAGAGCGAGACTTAAATCATTCATTTCAGTCTTGCGTAACAGTGCCATAAAATTTTTAGGTTTAAAAATGGTTTCCATGTGTATAATTTAAACAAATTTTAGAGCTATTGTATACACAAAATATTGCAACCACCCATTTGTTACATACTTTGTCTTTTTAAACTTCTACTTTTAATGATCACTGTGGTTGAAATTATTATGCTTAATTTTCATAATCATAGCTTTTAAATCTACAGCCGTTTTCACATGTTAGATAAAGAAAAAGATAGCTAATTGTGTGTAGATAGTATGTCATTCCTGAATAGTCCCAAATGGTACAAAATCATTAAAAAAGCTTAAGAGTACGAATTATTCTTCTATTAAAAAACAGTTGTTCTCTAACTAATTATTAGTTTGAGCTGCTTTGTTTCCAAGAACAAATGTTGATCCTTCTAGCCTTGTTCGGCACACCAAAATGAGATAAACACTTTTTTTTTCTCTCTCTCTCTCCTTATACCGAACTCTTGCAGGTGAGAAACCTTACAAATGTCCCCACTGTGACTATGCGGGCACCCAGTCAGCATCCCTAAAATACCACTTAGAGCGGCACCACCGGGAGCGGCAGAACGGAGCCGGGCCCCTGTCTGGACAGCCCCCAAACCAAGACCACAGGGACGAGCTGTCCAACAAAGCTGCTTTGTTTATCAGGCCAGACATCCTGAGGGGGGCCTTCAAGGGTCTCCCTGGAATCGACTTCAGAGGCGGCCCTGCTTCCCAGCAGTGGACAGCGGGCGTGCTCTCGTCCACAGATCACGCGGGGCAGGCCACCGGCATGACTTCCGAGGCCCCTTCGGACACGCTGAAAGGCACCGACCTTCCTTCCAAAAGCGCCCACTTCTCCGAAATTGGAAGAGCTTACCAGAGTATTGTGAGCAACGGTGTGAATTTCCAGGGGTCCTTGCAAGCTTTCATGGACAGCTTCGTCCTAAGCTCCTTGAAGAAGGAGAAGGACATGAAGGACAAAGGCCCGTCTGACCCTCCGTCCATGAAGGTGCACGGGCCGGACGGCGGGGAGGACAAAGCCAGCGTGAAGGCAGTCCCCAGGAAGTCGGAGAAATCGCAGCACGAGCCTCTGGACTTGTCGGTGCGGCCGGACGCCGCGTCGCTGCCAGGCTCGTCGGTGACCGTGCAAGACAGCATCGCGTGGCACGGCTGCTTGTTCTGTGCTTTCACGACCTCGTCTGTGGAGCTCATGGCCCTTCACCTGCAGGCCAACCACCTGGGCAAGGCCAAGCGCAAAGACAGCGCCGTCGGGGTGACGGTCAACTGCAAAGACCAGGCCCGGGAGGCGGGCAAGGTGGCCCTGCTGCCCTCGGCACAGTCGAACAAAGACATGGCACTCTCTGGCCTGATCGGGCCTCTAGAGGCTGCTTCAGAGAAGACAGCCCCGGGGCCGGGCAAGGAGACTCTGGGGGAGCCCAAGAGCGGCACGTGGCCTGGCCTGGTGGACCCCGCGTTTTGCAACTTCCCATCAGACTTCTACAAGCAGTTTGGCGTCTACCCGGGCCTGGTGGGCTCGGGCGCCTCCAGCTCCTGCCCGGCCCAGGAGCCCGACGGGAAGTCCCACGCGGAGGATGACGCCCCGATCCTGATCCCCGAGACCGCCAGCAAGAACGCTACCGATGACCTCTCCGACATTGCCTCCTCGGAGGACATGGACTCCTCCAAGGGAGAGAACAACGACGAAGACGATCTGGAGACCGAGCCGGAGATGATGAGCAAACCCCAGTCCGCCCTCGGCAAGGATGGCGGCGGCAGCGGCGACAGTGGCGATAGCCTGCTGCCCGCGGGCGCCCCTCAGCCCGTCCAGGGACTAGTCTCGCCGGTGACCCCGGCGCCCGAGAAGCAGTGGCACGGCCCGGGCCTGCTTCCAGCCCAGGACCCCTCGGCGGGCCTGCCCAAGCCGGAGCGGGGCCCCCCGGGCCTGGAGAAGCCGATGAACATGCTGTCGGTCCTCAGGGCCTACAGTTCTGATGGCTTAGCAGCCTTTAACGGACTTGCGAGTAGCACAGCAAATTCTGGATGTATCAAGAGGCCAGACTTGTGTGGTAAGTTTTAGAATCCTCTTCCTTCAGTTCATTTCCCAAAACATCAGTGCTGAATTGTGCATTTTTAAAAAATGAGGTAGACTCCTCCGTTAGCACATTTCGAACTAACCATGAAAACACCCCAGCGATGCTGTAACGTGCAGTGTAGACAATCACGAGAGTCGATTTCCTTCGGAAGTTCTAGCACGCCTGCTTTTGCGTTCGGGTTCCCACCCCGGTGACCCGAAATGCCTGTACGGAAAGCGCGGAGGGGGGATTGGGATCTCACAGTGCAAACTGTTCCTGTTTTTAATCTCTAACTCGAGGGGGAGAATATTTTTAAAAACAAAACCAGAAAGACACGGTAACTTGCAAACCCTTCAGTATTTTTAACTTCTGCGTAAGACGGCGAAAGACAGTTGCTTCCTGCTTTGCTAAGCCAAACCTGCTTCCTTAAGCTTTTCTTTGTATCGACTTAGAGGGTACGAAAAATCATATCACACTAACCACACTATAGAAATAAAGTGATCCTCTCTCCAACCAGGGAGATTGTTTTGGGGTGTTTGTGAATTATCTTTAGACATTCCAAACAGCAGTTACTGTGACGTTGGCCTTCTATGATCGCCTTCTGTCCCTCTGTATCTTCACCTGTCTGTCCGTTGTTCTGACGAGAAATGTGCATTGTGAAAGCCCTGGTTAGCAGGGTTGTGATCCCACATGTCTTGGACTTATGCCTGCCTGATCCTGTTAGCGAATTGGCACTTCTTTACCTCCTTCAACAATATGGTTACCCCAAAGTAATTCCAGATCTTAAAACGTGATAATAAATGTGAAGCCTAGAATTGGATCAAATGAACGCTGGGGTGGGCAGGGATGATCAAAGACATTCTCTCGGCACCCAGATACTTGTATCAGAAAGCCTTTCTCCGAATAGATGCCTGGTGTATTATTGCCAGCCCCTAGATGTCCCCCTGGAGATAAACAATCGTGGGACCTTTCCACGTTTAATCTATAAATGGATGTCTGTGACTTGACTGCACCTGTTGAAGAAAGGAAAGGAGAGAAGGAAGAAAGGAAGGGAGGGAGTAGTGATGGAGGGAAGGATGGGAGGAAGGGAGAGAAGGAAAATGGAAGGGGGATATTTCTTAAGCTCTGAATTCTGATGTTGCTTTGAGCACAGAGCAGAATTCAGGAAGCTGGGCTTGGTTCATAATTTAAATTGGTATATTTCTTTTCCCCTCTCCTTCCCTAATTCACTAAGAACTGGATCAAGTAGTCAGAAATATATTTTTTTTGAATTGTCAAAAATCACTAAATGGATTTCTGACAGCTCAAAAAAATATTGACAGTTCCTTATGCTGAATGATTCACAAGGCCCAGTTAACCAGCACCCCAGCTCTATTTTTACCCACATACAATTCATTACTTTTGAAGCAGTTAAAAACAGTGTTTAAAAGAAGGAGAAAAGGGTTTTATGTCAGTACAGTGTTTTTCCCCTTTCCTTCCTGGAGGAACAGTGTGTAAGTCTTTTTTTTTTTTTTTGTCTTTTTTTTTTTTTTTTAATTTCATTGTTGTTTTAAGTTTGTGACTTTTCTTCTCTTATTGTTATTTGGGGATTGTTTTAAAGTCTATTTTCAGTTCTTTCAAATACCTATGTAGGACCACAGTTCCTGCCAGGAATCCATGCATCAGAAAAGATCAAAACCTGGCATGTTCCTAAGCTCATTCTTATTGAAATGAGCTCATATTACCCCTATTAATTTTCCCATCTTCCTATCAATGCCGAAGGAAGGCTTGCCTGCCTTGGAGGAGCTTGCACTGGTGTCCTTCAGCACACGTGAAGGTGGAGGGGAAGGCAGCATCAGGGAGCCTGTTTCAGTGAGCCTGGTCCTCTGAACCGCAGCCCTGAGACATGTCTCTCTCCCTCCCAAAAGAGCAGCTCACCGCTCTCCCCTGACAGCTCTGGGGTATATGTAAAAAAACTTTGCTTTGTTAACCTTTCAGCCATTGGGCAACAGGTCCTGGGGTACGTGTTGTGGCCCCTCGCTGGAAAGGGGAATGAGGACCCCTCAGTCCAGCCAGGCAAAAACCAGGCATCAGGGTCCAGGCCCTCCTACTCAGGGTCCAAGTCAGAGCCCAGGCCCTCCTGCTCTCCTTTGCACTTGTGGGAAGACGCCAAAACAGATTCTGGCCATAAACTGCCTATTTTTAGTGAGCACATGTTCTGCCTTTCATTCGGACCTCATTGCTTCTGTATCCTCTTGATTGAGCTTGGGAGCAGGCAAGGGAGACCTTTCCCTGGCTCTTGAGCTTACTTCGGGTGGGGCAAAGGCTCCATCCATCCTCTTGCCTCTGGGACTAGCCTGACCCCGTGCAGTGTTCACTCCTCCACTCCCATACGTGGCCTGCCATAATCAAAACCCTCTTCTTACATTCTTACCGGCTGCTCTGTGTCCTGGGGCCCAGGAAGGCCAGGCATATTCATTCTTCCTAAGATGTCTGGGAGGGTGGGGGCTGAAATCCCACTGGGCTCAGAATGGGCATTTGGGGCTTTTTTCCTCCCAGTCCAGCTTACTGTCTTTCTACCATTGCCAGGAGCACAAATGATAGCTGATCACTTCAAACCGCCCTTGGCTTGACTTTGCAAGATTGGAAATGATATTGGCACAAGGAATCAAATATTCCTGATTTTGTTTCCTTCTTCTCCTCTCCATGCAAAGTGGATGTGGATTTCCGAACGGAACCACCAGCTTGATATCTGGTTTCCTCCAGAAGCTGGGTTTGGCCAAACCAAAGAATTATTCTGGTATTTCTCATCTCAGGAGAGTTTGGGGTCTGATTTTGTTTAGTTAGCAAACCCAAATCCCCACTTTGATGGTCCTAGAAACAAGCTTGTAGGAGGAGCCAATGTCCGTCTGTTTCTATTCTCATGGGGTATAAAAGTGTTTGAAGAAGCATCAGTATAAAAAATCTTGTTCAGATCACGCAGACTCCCCACAGAGTGCAGCAGCAGCTCTGACCCAGGCTGGTGAGTCGGAGGAGGTGGTGTGTAACTCTGAAGTCTGTGGGTGATACTCCTGTTGTGGCCCTACTTCCAGCCCCTGCTTCCCTAATTCTGCATGCCTGCTTCCTAACTGTTCAAACTTTGGTCTTAACGTTCCTTGGCATCCTGGACCTGGGGTCCTTGGCCAGTGAGACCTGCCCATTCCTAGCCAGTGCGTTTCAAAGAGAGAGTTGAAAAGGGGGCCACCCCAGTCCGTTGAGCAGAGAGCCTTGTTGCACGTGCCAATGTACAGAGCCCGTCGGTGAACTTTCTAAAAGGTCCTTCCGTAGACAGTAGAACATTCGCCTCCCAGAAATGTGTCACAGAAGATCCCAAGGAGGAGTCATCTTGAATTAAGCTGGAGGACATACACTGTTGCTTGTAGAGTGGGTCAGATCCCACTAGGGGCCCGATTTCATCCGGCAAAATCCCACTCCAGTTAAAGCTTCCCTTTCTTGAGGTGTCTTTTAGACTCCAGGCCTAGCCCGCAATTTCTTTATCCTACTGAAGAACATGACATACAAGGTCATTGAGTGCCATTAAAGAACTTGGATGTGCCCTCGGGTTTGTTGGAATAGATTTGATCTTGGTCCTGTAATGGGACAGGAGCTACATGAGTATTTAATTAGAGAGTAAGGGCAGATCGGAGCAGCACTCACAGCCACTGATAGGACAAGGCAGGCAATCGCCTTGTCCAGTCTGAGAAACTTTGATGAACTTGTGGGTCAGCCAGTGGCTTGGAGGTCGGAGAGCATGGGAGGCACGGGTGTCTGCGTGCCCCAGACAGCACAAAGGCCAGTCTGCACAGCACTTGGAGGGCTGGCTCCAGAGCATGGCAAGGGTACAGAGCATGTCTCACCCCACTTGGTGGATTTGGAAAGCAACCATATCACCCTTACTCTTTGCCTTTCAAACCTGGGACAGATGGCCGGGGGTCATTGTGTGTTGAGTCTTGCAAGCAGAGTTTGCCCTGTGTCTTTTGGTGAGCCCAGGCATAAGGCTGACGGGAAGCGTTAAAGAGAAAGGCAGTGAGAAGGGCATGACCCTCTTTGCTGTTTGATGCTCTGGAACGATCGGCACGCAGGGAAACCAGGCTGAGCCAGGAGATGCCACCAGCATGCCTATCATGGCCATGAACCCTCACACAGTAGCTTCTGGACCAAGGCAGCTGCCAGGCCCCAGGGGAAGCTAGTGGGAGGCACAGCCATTAGCAACAAAGGTCCTAGTAGTCCCCATTTATTATTCGCAGGTAACTGGGAAACTGGCTTCCCTAACCCAAATTATGCCTGAGACTACAGTTTCCTTGGGCTTCCATAGCAATGAGAGAATTAGAACCCCTCCTTTAAAAAAAGAACACAGGGTCCATTGAAACCTCTTCACCTCATCTATTCTAAGACGTCTGATCAAATGAACCAGGACATCCAAGTGGAACGCTCTTAAAATGCGACTTCTGTCCTCCAAAAACCGCACTGATTTCCAGCATAGACAGTCTGAAAATATTCATCCTTGACCGGCTACACAGTCTAAAGCAGGGGTTGGCAACTATTTTCTTCAAGGGCCAGAGAGGAAATAAGCTGGGATTGCAGGCTGTGTGGTCTTGGTCACAGCCACTGGACTCTGCCCCACAACGTCGAAGGAGCCATAAATAATAATTAAACAAATAGGTGTGGCTGTGTTCCAATAAAACTTTATTTAGTAAAGCAGGCGATGGGCTGGATTGGGCCCACATGTCAGCCTGCCTGGGCTGTTGCTGGTTCCAGTGTAAAGAAGGGTGTGCTTTTTTCTGTGTCATCCCTAGAGGGGACACGTGGGATCCTGTGTGCCGTGGCATCACCGGCCAGGGAGATGGTGCCGGGAAGGGCCAGGACTGCAAAGCCAGAGACACAAGAGACTTTCCCAGGAAAGGGGGCTTCTAGACCCAGATGGCTCGGTGTGCCTGTTCTTGGAAGGCCACCTCTCTGCCTACCACACTTCAGAC